TCAGATCAGACTGAGCAGCAGCAGAGTCCACCACAGGAAACACTCAGATCCAGTCTGTTCTCTACAACCCTGGTCCTCAGGCACCCTGTCCAGCAGGTCTGACTTGTTTCCTGCTGTTCAGCAGGTCTGCAGAAGATTGTTAATCACTCTTCATTCAAACCAGCTGTGTCAAATCAGGGAAACATCTAAAAACCACTGCTTTCAATGTTGACCAACACCTCAAGAGCTTCTCTGAGCTTCAGGAGACATTTTCAAAACATAATATTGACTTAGTTTTATGTCTTTTAGTATTGTCTCTGGAAGCCATGATTCTTTGCCATTTATCTGTAAATAATGAATCAGATAACGTATTAAAGCTGTGGTTCTCAACCCAAGTCTTCAAGGACTCATTTCCTGCATGTTTTGGATTAAATTTGAACTTTCTTTTCTTTATACAGAGCTGTAAAATGTCTTCTGTTGTGAACCAGACTTTATTTCTTTATTTACTGTTGTTTAACCAGGCAAACCCCACAGATCACAGGGAGGCCTGGGTCTGAAGGCAGCCATGCTTCTGGGGACACAAGCATGAGGAGAACATGCAAACTCCACACAGAAAGACCTCAGGTCCAGACCAGGGACTGAACCCAGGACCTTCTTGCTGTGAGGCGTCAGTGCTAACCACTGAACCACCGTGCTGCCAGGATCTTATAAAAACTGAATTGAATCACTAAAAAATTCATCAATTTTCCACCGTTTGTCAGTAATCTAAAAGAACAGGATTGTTTCTGCTGCTCTGTGAGCAGAGTTTCTGTTGCCTTAAGGTGTTGTCACATTCTCCAGACTATTAGAAGAAATGAGAGCACAAGTCTTGATTGATGGTTTGATCAACCAATCAATGTTGGAGCTATGATTGTTAGATATCCTGGAAGATTAAGCTGATTTTACAGATGTGAAGCTGCACTGCTCTGCTGCCTTCAGCTACTGTAGAAATAGAAACAAATTAACAAAATATTGTTGCAGAATTATTAATGGTCTTTTTCCAGACAACTTTTTAACAACTGGAGCTGTTTTATTCATAGATTTACTACATGTGTTTAGTTAGTCTGTAGGAAAACTTGAGCTTTTTAACTAAAGCTTGAGAAAACCATTAGAACCCAGGAGGTTTTCTACATACTGAAATCACCAGTAGAACCTTTGGAGAAACAAGAATACAAAAAATAAATAAAATAAACATTCTGAGCAAGAATATGTGAATGAATTTTGTTTTCAAACATTGTTATTGGAGGAAACTGTAGATTTTTGATGCTGAGGCTTTCTATGTGTTCCTGCTCCAGACCCTCCTTCTTCATGCCCACCATCATGGAGCGCTGAGGACTCTTTACTTTTGTCATGAAAACAAGATGCTAAAACAAAAATATACTTAAGAAAAAACATTTAATTATCATTATCTAACAGACAAGGGCTTCAAAGAAAAACTGCATTTCACATTTGATTGTGTTCATTTCTACATTTATGTACCTTGATGTGTTTCCTGTTGGTTTACTGATTGTTTTTGGTTTTACTAGAGCTCCATAATTAAGCTTTTATGGTTAAAATTGAATAAAATTTGTGCAAAAATCGAAATATCCGAATAATTAAACAATTCCATGACAGCGGAGACAAAAACAGAACCATCAGACTACAATTTGTTTTTTCCAGCAGTTTAAACTTTGCTGAGCAGAAAATGAGCTGCAGTCAGAAATAAAATCATTTAAATATTGTTTGATGATTTGCAGCCAACAAAACCAAACAGTGACCTCTGATGTGTCTGCAGGGACAGTTTTCAGGCTTGGATTGAGTCTTCTTCTTTCCTGCTGTGTTCTGGATGGAAAAATAAATACCAAAACAAAAAGACTGCATCTCATGTGGAGTTCAGCTCCTGGCCTCTGATGGATGCAGTRTCACTTCATCTAAAGCTCTGTGTGACGAGCAGCTCAGTCCTGTTTAAACTTTATGACTCATCCAGGTCTCAGAACACTTCAGGTCCAGAAGGAAAGATCTGGGATCAGTGTTCCTGATCTGCTCTGGGTCCAACAGGCTTTGATGAAGTCCTCAGCAGCTGCTGACAACAGGCTAATGTGGATGGATGTGTGCGTGAAAAGCATGACAGCAGACCCAGCTGCATTGTGGGAAACCAGTCAGTGCAGACAGGGGATGGACACTTACCCTGGGACTGCTGAGAGGACTGGTGGAAAGACCAGAGGACGCTCCGCTGATCGACCGTGACCTGGACACAAGAAAACCAGATTCAGATAGTCATATCCCTAACCCTAACCTGAGATAAGATAACCCTAACCTGAAATAAGACAAACCTAACCTGAAATAAGATAAACCTAACCTGAGACAAGATAAACCTAACCTGAGATAAGATAACCCCAACCTGAAATAAGANATGTGAAGAACACTTCAACAACACGTGTACAGCACTTTAGCAACACGTGAACAACACTACAGGAACATGTGAACAACACTTCAGCAATATGTGAACAACACTTCAACAACACGTGTACAGCACTTTAGCAACACGTGAACAACACTACAGGAACATGTGAACAACACTTCAGCAATATGTGAACAACACTTCAGCAACATGTGAAAAACACTTCAGCAACATGTGGACAACACTTCAGCAACATGTGAACAACACTTCAGCAACATGTGAACAACACTTCAACAACACGTGAACAACACTTCAGCTACATGTGAACAACACTTCAGCAACATGTGAACAACACTTCAAC